AGCCACTGACCTCGTTACGGATTTGGTGAGGATGGGGTATTTCTTCAGCAGGACCAAATACTGCTGCAGTAAACGGAACTGAACGGACGCGTCCCGGACGGGAAGGCTCTGCACAGGCATCGTCAGTCGTTTAACGGCACCAACATCACCACAACCGCACTGGGGCGAAGTTGAAAAGCAGCTCCGCCGAAGACTTCCCGTGCACGTCTGCGCGTCAGTGGTGGAGCCACGCCTTTGCGTCATCACGTCGATGTCAAAACCTGCCAAACCGATTTATTTATTTTTTTATTTTTTTTATTTTTAATTGAACGTTTTATCTGTTTTTTCTTTACTCTAATATTTCATAAAGCACAAAAAATTATAAAAAATAGTAATAGAGGAGATGAAATGTGCAAGGCTGTTTTTTAACATTATAAGTGGGCAATGAAATAAACATACACATTAAAAACAACATGACATATAAGATAATATAAGATAAAATGAGAGAAGATAAGATAATGCTTCAATATATATTTATTATAATGGGGAAAATCAGTTTGTTGCAGCAGCAGGGGATAGTGCAAAGAACAAACATCAGGGAAATAAATAAAATAAAAGTAATATACATAAATAAGAGTATAAAATACAAACAAAATAAAGAAAGGTCCTTTTAGGTGAGGGAGCTCAAACTGCTGGACTTTTCCGGCCCTCCACCCCCTCCCTCCGGCAGGTGACATGAGGTCCAAATTATAACCCGGCCTGCAAGATCACTATATTTTTTATAGTAATCTTTTCAATTTAAACTAAAATAAAAAATAATTATATTTTTAAAATGTATTTTGTTTGGCGCAAAATAATAGCAAAGGACAAAGGTGCCAGCAAATGCGTGCAAACAACAATATATGATATAAAATGATGATATTGTTGTTGTATGATCTGAATAATAGTTTAATTTAAAGCATTGTTTAACGCTGCTACTTTCCAAACTGGCAACAAGCTTAATATAATGTATTTCTTTATTTAAAGCAGTAACATGAATCTTTTAAGTGAATTTGACTGAATGTAAATGTACATTTATCTTCTTGTTTTAAGGTTTTACAGCTTTTTTAAAAGTTTTTTAAAGCCTCGCTTTAAGATCCAGACCACGTTTCTGTTAATCTGTCCTCTCCTGATCCCATTACAGTGACTAATGGCATTCATCTTGACTTGTTAAAGCTGGAAAAGCACTACTGATGGGAAATCCAGCTCTTTTCATTGAGCTGGATCATTTGGTTCCTCATTTAATACCAATTCTGGTTTTTATAATTCAGCCAGAATTAGCAAGTTTGACCTATGATTGGTATGTGTGCATACAGTGTATTTAACTTTATTTATACAATGTAATATTATATTAACCTTATCATTGCCAGAATACCATAATTTAACATTACGCTTTGTATAATTTAATAAATATTGAATTATGTTTTACATGTTGGCGACCGGCACAACATACAGAAAGACGCCACTCATGAGCCTTAATGTTACCAAAGAGAGACGTTTCTGGATTATATTAATTGACGTCCTATTATTGTCTCATATAGTCGACTCGTTCACAAACGACTAAAAAGCAGCGTTGAAACATTAATAAATGACTTCATGTGCCTGGGAGCCTACATGTTCAGCAGCAGGGACCGGCCTCGTAAATCAAATAAAAGTGTTAAAGGGTTGTTGGATACAATAAATCATAAAAACACCCAATAACTGTGTAAGAGACACTTTCTGGAAAAGGTGAATAGAAAACAGTCAAACATTTAACTCTTAATATGTAAATAAGTAGTCCCACAGATTAAAGTATAGTGTTTTAAACCAAATAAAACAAAAGTCTATAATTATTTACTACCTTTCCTATTGATTTCTGTTCTTTGTATTTTATTTAACTTTCTGCATTTATTACAAGGTTTTACATTTTTTGCTGAGGCTCAAATTCACAAAACCTGACGACAAAGTTGTCCTGAAACTCTGCAGAGGAGCACAGGGACAGCGATATATCTGCTCTACGGGTGTCTGAGGAAGTCCGCAAACATTAATACACAACGTGCACTTTTTGGAACCACTTTAATAGAACCAAATGTTCGATAACAAAAAGGTAAAAAAAAAACGTTAAAAAAAAAAATAAACACAAACATATTTACAGTGTTGAAAATGAGTGCAGATGATAAAGATATGTATCACAACTGTCAGCAGTGTACAGCGTGAAGCCGACACGACCTCTTTCATAAAGAATCTCTGCACATTCAGGATGCTAGAACAGGAAACGGAGAAGAGCTTATGGGTGGGTCTGTAGGTAACCAGCACACAAAACTTAAAGTGCCTTCCAGTTTATGGGAGACTTTCCAGATTTCTGAAGCAGCTCGTTGGCCTTTGAGAAATGCTTGCACCCAAAAAACCCTCGATGGGCGGACAGCGGAGAGGGATGCACAGCCTGCAGGACGTGGTGGCGTTTCTACAGAGAGAGAACGTAAAGATTAGAAGCACAAACGCGATTAAAAAGCTTTTTTAAAAAGTGTTTTAAAAACAAACAGCGTAGACGCACTCTGTTAATGGCGGCTCCTTTCTTCTGGGCATACGCTCCCCACAGCATGAAGACGAGGCCTTCCAGGTTGTTGCTGAGCCACTGCACCACGGCGTCGGTGAACGTCTCCCAGCCTTTGTCTTTGTGGGAGTTTGCCTGGTGCGCTCGCACGGTCAACACGGCGTTGAGCAACAACACACCTGGAGAGCAACGTCACAGATAACAGGAGGAAATTTTAAATAATCAGAAAGCTGTTTGTTGAATGTTTACACGACTTTTTTTTAATGTACCTTGTTTGGTCCATCCAGTCAGGTCTCCGTGTCCTGGGTGCTGAAAGCCGTCAATGTCCGAGACCAGTTCTTTGTACATGTTCTCCAAACTGGATATTAAAAAAAAGGGAGCGAGGATGTAATGAATGTGTCACCACCTGATTTAAAAGTTAGACAAGAGTTTGAAACCAAAACAAAAGTAGTGAAAGATTATGAAAAAGGTTTGAACCTGGGTGGAGGAGGCACTGGTCTTTTGACACTGAAGCACAACCCGTGAGCTTGGTTGGGACCGTGATACGGATCCTGGCCAAGAATCACCACTTTGACCTGGAATTAGAGACAGAAAGTTAACGTGAGGAGACTGTGATGATTAGTGGACGGGCAATAATGCATAATGGTTTTAATTTCCTACATGATATATCGCCATATCAGTGCATATCTGATACAACAGCTGTAACTCTTCAATAGGCAGCGGACGGTTGGGGTGTCTTAACTTTCTTACTAACATAACAATTAATAACACAATTATCTTTAAAAAAGGACAAAACACCATGTGTTCAGCTTCTTATCTATCAGAAATATATCAATATCTTATAGATATCTTATATTCTGTATTGAGATATTTTAATTAATTTGTTATTTGGTGTGTTTATTTATTTATTCTTTTTTATTTCACTTTTCACTTTTTTTAGGGGCTTTTTTCTAATTCTGCAGACGGCACCAGCGAAGTTCCCACTCTTTTCCACAAATCAATTTCCAGAAGTTTTCCTTACAATCGGTCATATAAGCTGCCGTTTTGGGGCCACAGCCTCGTCAGTAAAAGTTCAAATCAAGTTGAATTTATTCCATTTTACAGCTAATTCATCTTCTAGGAAGTTCAAGTGTTTATTACATGTACAGTTAACATCATGCATGTAGCTATGAGGTGACATATCCTATATCGAGTTACAAATTAAACATTATAGTTATTATTTCTACATATTTGCTCATTTTAATTAAGTTCCTTATCACAAAACTAGTCTCTGAAGTTCCAGGTTTTCTCCAGTAGGATTCATGATTAAGTCCACAGTGTAAGAGCAGATTTGCTGCATCAGGAGTTGACTTGTCTTGTTTTTTTCCTCTTAATTAAGTTAAAATATAAATTTAATTGTATAGATTGTTGCTGCATGATGCCCAGTAGAGGTTTTTAAACTCACATCCCGGATGTCACACATCTGCGTCCAGGTGAACACATGCTCAGCAGGTGGATACACGGTGTGGCGTTTCCTCTCATCGGCAACGAAACTCATCAACTGTGGCAGAGATTTAAAGTGATTAAAAACATTTATTTTTAAAACAACTACTAAAAAAAAAAAAAAGCTTGTCACCTCACCTGTTTAAAGTAGGGCTTCCCAAACTCCGCCGACAGTCCGTTTCTCCAGCTCTCCCCGAACCCTGGAGGCGTTTGTGCCGCAGCGAGTCTCTCCAGCGCGGCTCTCTTGTTGCGGGCGATCCTCTCCAGTTGATCCGGGGACAGAGGAGGGCTGCCCGGCTGCGGCGGACCATCTCCCTCCGGCGCCGAGGACTTCTGCTTCTTCTGCACGATTTTAGTGTATTGAGCAAAACACAGAGCTGGTGAGAGGCGGGCAGCTGCGGGTTGAAGCGGCTTCAGGAACCGTGGACAGCGCAGAGCTAACATTACGGTGCTGTTGGCCCGCTGCGAGCAACCGCTTTTAATAAACAAGAACGCGGCGGCGCTTGTGAACGTAGCTTGGATGGTCGCGGGAAACTGGCATATGTTTGCGAAAACTCTGTAAGTTTAAGTGTTTAAATGTTTAAAAATAGTATGTTTTAACACTGGGGATTATACATGTGGTTACTGTTAGCGGATAAACTGCAGAAGAGGCGACTCACCGGGTCTTTTGCATCCTCCTCGGCTTCATTTAAATCCTTAGAAATCCTCTTTTTCGACACAGGCGTAAAAAACGAGTGAATAGTTTTCTGTCCGATCATTTTGTGGAGAAACACGTTTGTCGGTGAACTAATTAACGTTTAATTTAAGTAGCTAGTGTTAACTAACCGCGGCGAGCTCCCCGGGAAAAACACACCAACCCCGAAACCAACTCACCGGGATCAAAGTAATTCGCGCCAAAACCAAGTGACGAAAGCGGGTATGCAAATGAGCCGAGGGGACGTTCAAGACAAACCGCGGCGTGGTGTTTAATAGAGTTTGTAGAAGGTAAAGCAACTGAGAGATATCTACGTTTTCTCAACTGTTGTTTGTAGTTTTGTGATATTTTATAGTTTTAAAAGCCTAAAGTCGATGTTTCTTTGCTGTTCGGTCGATTAATCGAGTAGTCAATCAAGTGAAATTAATCGTTATACATACCCGATGAATCATTTGAGGCTTTTCTTTCAAGCAAAAAATGTTATTAAATGTTAAGATTTACTGCTTTTATATATTTCTATATTATATGCGACTAGGGTTTCAGTACTCGGTTGGATCGTGTATCCAGAATAAATAAAGTACAATTAGTAAAATGTGTCAATAAATAAACAACTTTTTCTAAATTTAAAATCTTGTTCTGTAAACAGTTTTTTTTTTATGCTTTTGATCAAAAACATCGCTCTGAAGCTCAATTCTGTAATAACTTTACTAATCTGATAACCAATATTAATTAAAGTGTCAACTTCTGCGGCAAGCACCTCCCACTAAATGATTAATTGATTAATTAAGAAAATAGTTAACAGATTAGTTAATGATGAAAACAATTGTTAGTCGCATCCTTTGTAATAAAAGCCTCCTGAATTCAACAAAATATAGCAAATTTCAACACAAAATGTTTAAATATCTGGATAATTACAGTAAAATAAACCAACTTCATTGAAGGTTATTTAAATCTCAAAATCAGTGTTCATGTTTCATTCTTCTTCACTTCATCCAGGTGCAAAATAATTCTGAAATTAAGCTCTTCGGAGTAACAACAGCAGGTTATGGAAGAGTTTGTGGTTCGGGGACAGAATAAACGCTCCCCAGCTAATGATGCAAGAAGTCCTCGGAAGAAGCTCAAACTGGAGAGCGATGAGAGCATGAAGCAGGAGGAAGAGGAAGAGGAAGAGGAGGACGACGAGTTCTCTCATCCTGTTCCCTGGCAGAAAATAGAGGCCGAAGGACTGGACTGCGATTACGCTCTGCTGTTCTCCAAAGAGGAGGCAGACCATCTTCTTAAACAGCTGGAGGAGGAGGTGGTGTACTCAACAGGTACAGGAAACCTTTTATTTCTGTACAGTTACGACCAGAAGTTCCAGCGTTCTTGTGAAAATCTGTTTTTTTGTTTCAGGGGAAGAAGCAAAAGTTCAGATATTTGGAAAAGTGTACGATATACCGAGAAAGCAGGCGACGTACGGAGATGCAGGTCTGACCTACACTTATTCTGGGGTGGCGCGTTTGGCCTGCCCGTGGACTCCCACCTTGGAATATATCCGGGATGCTGTCACAAAAGCGACCGGACAAACATTTAACTTTGTCCTGGTCAACAGGTGAGCGAATACGAGCTTTAAAAGATCTCCGTTTTGATGTTTGGCCTGAAAGTGTTCGTCTCTCCAACAGGTACAAAGATGGACGGGATCACATGGGGGAGCATCGTGACGACGAGAAGGAGCTGGACCCCCTCTGTCCCATCGCCTCCGTCTCGCTGGGAGCGCCACGAGACTTTGTCTTCCGGCACAGAGACGCTCGGGGTAAACGGACCCGCCGGCAGATCGAACCCGTGAAGCTGGAGCTCGCCCACGGGAGCCTGCTCCTCATGAACTCGCCAACGAACACCTTCTGGTACCACGGCCTCCCCGTCCGCAAGAAGATATCCCTGCCTCGCGTCAACCTCACCTTCAGACGCATCCTGCTGGACCGAAAGAAACGACCGAGTGTGGATTCTCAACAAGGAACGTCTGACTTGGGAAAAATATCACAAATGCAAAAAGCAGCAGAAGCAGAGTGACAAAATGGCCGTCGACTGGGACTCTGAGCACGTTTTATAGTCTCACTGATCTCAAGTTCAAACCACAACTTCAGCTACTTTCTGCAACTTTTACCAGGTTAAGTTTTATAAAGCTGGCTGGCAAAGTTTCTGAAGAAAAAGGATCAATAAAATCAACACTGAACAATTCAGTGGAGCTAAAGATGCTCCAACACCATTTGTTCCTTCCCGATACCTGAACTTTATGTATCGGCCGATAGGGAGTACCAATGAGCCTGTCGGAGTCAGGGTAGGGTGGGTCATGACTTTGCTATCCTTGGGGGGG